CCTCGTCAAATTGCATGCAATCACAACCGTGCAGTTGGTTTTGAAACGCCGGCGTATAGGACGGCCCTGTGGCTGGAAATGTACCCAGCTGATGCTTACATGTGCCTCCCTCCTGCTAGGCAATGCATGCAATCACTCGGGCAGTTGGTTTTGCAACCGCTTGGTGTCTAGGACGGCCCTTGTAGCGCCGGAAATTGTACCCAGCTATGCTCATGATGCTCCCTCCTGCCTCGTAAATGCATTGCAATACACTGGGGCCAGTTGGTTTTGCAACGCCTGGCGCCAAGCTGATGCTCATGATGCCCCCGTCCTGCCTCGTCAAATGCATGCAATCACTCGGGCAGTTGGTTTTGCAACGCCTGGCGTCTAGGACGGCCCTGTGGCCGGAAATGTACCCCGCTGATGCTCATGATGCCCCCCTCCTGCCTCGTCAAATGCATGCAATCACTCGGGCAGTTGGTTTTGCAACGCCTGGCGTCCAGGACGGCCCTGTGGCCGGAAATGTACCCCGCTGATGCTCATGATGCCCCCCTCCTGCCTCGTCAAATGCATGCAATCACTCGGGCAGTTGGTTTTGCAACGCCTGGCGTCTAGGACGGCCCTGTGGCCGGAAATGTACCCAGCTGATGCTCATGATGCTCCCCTCCTGCCTCGTCAAATGCATGCAATCACTCGGGCAGTTGGTTTTGCAACCCTGGCGTCTAGGACGGCTTTGTGGCCGGAAATGTACCCAGCTGATGCTCATGATGCTCCCCTCCTGCCTGGTCAAATGCATGCAATCATTTGCAACGCCTGGCGTCTAGGACGGCCCTGTGGCCGGATATGTACCGCTCATGATGCTCCCCTCCTGCCTCGTCAAATGCATGCAATCACTCGGGCAGTTGGTTTTGCAACGCCTGGCGTCTGGGACGGCCCTGTGGCCGGAAATGTACCCAGCTGATGCTCATGATGCTCCCTCCTGCCTCGTCAAATGCATGCAATCACTCGGGCAGTTGGTTTTGCAACGCCTGGTTTCTAGGACGGCCCTGTGGCCGGAAATGTACCCAGCTGATGCTCATGATGCCCCCCTCCTGCCTCGTCAAATGCATGCAATCACTGGGCTGATGCTCATGATGCTCCCCTCCTGCCTCGTCAAATGCATGCAATCACTCGGGCTGTTGGTTTTGCAACGCCTGGCGTCTAAGGCGGCCCTGTGGCCGGAAATGTACCCAGCTGATGCTCATGATGCCCCCCTCCTGCCTCGTCAAATGCATGCAATCACTCGGGCAGTTGGTTTTGCAACGCTTGGTGTCTAGGACGGCCCTGTGGCCGGAAATGTACCCAGCTGATGCTCATGATGCTCCCCTCCTGCCTCGTCAAATGCATGCAATCACTCGGGCAGTTGGTTTTGCAACGCCTGGCGCCCAGCTGATGCTCATGATGCCCCCCTCCTGCCTCGTCAAATGCATGCAATCACTCGGGCAGTTGGTTTTGCAACGCCTGGCGTCTAGTAGGACGGCCCTGTGGCCGGAAATGTACCCAGCTGATGCTCATGATGCTCCCCTCCTGCCTCGCATGCAATCACTCGGGCAGTTGGTTTTGCAACGCCTGGCGTCTAGGACGGCCCTGTGGCCGGAAATGTACCCAGCTGATGCTCATGATGCCCCCCTCCCGCCTCGTCAAATGCATGCAATCACTCGGGCAGTTGGGTTTGCAACGCCTGGCGTCTAGGACGGCCCTGTGGCCGGAAATGTACCCAGCTGATGCTCATGATGCTCCCCTCCTGCCTCGTCAAATGCATGCAATCACTCGGGCTGTTGGCTTTGCAATGCCTGGCGTCTAGGACGGCCCTGTGGCCGGAAATGTACCCAGCTGATGCTCATGATGCTCCCCTCCTGCCTCGTCAAATGCATGCAATCACTCGGGCTGTTGGTTTTGCAACGCCTGGCGTCTAGGACGGCCCTGTGGCCGGAAATGTACCCAGCTGATGCTCATGATGCTCCCCTCCTGCCTCGTCACATGCATGCAATCACTCGGGCTGTTGGTTTTGCAACGCCTGGCGTCTAGGACGGCCCTGTGGCCGGAAATGTACCCAGCTGATGCTCATGATGCTCCACTCCTGCCTCGTCAAATGCATGCAATCACTCGGGCTGTTTTGCAACGCCTGGCGTCTAGGACGGCCCTGTGGCCGGAAATGTACCCAGCTGATGCTCATGATGCTCCCCTCCTGCCTCGTCAAATGCATGCAATCACTCGGGCTGTTGGTTTTGCAACGCCTGGCGTCTAGGACGGCACTGTGGCCGGAAATGTACCCAGCTGATGCTCATGATGCTCCCCTCCTGCCTCGTCAAATGCATGCAATCACTCGGGCTGTTGGTTTTGCAACGCCTGGCGTCTAGGACGGCCCTGATGCTCATGATGCTCCCCTCCTGCCTCGTCAAATGCATGCAATCACTCGGGCTGTTGGTTTTGCAACGCCTGGCGTCTAGGACGGCCCTGTGGCCGGAAATGTACCCAGCTGATGCTCATGATGCTCCCCTCCTGCCTCGTCAAATGCATGCAATCACTCGGGCTGTTGGTTTTGCAACGCCTGGCGTCTAGTGGCCGGAAATGTACCCAGCTGATGCTCATGATGCTCCCCTCCTGCCTCGTCAAATGCATGCAATCACTCGGGCTGTTGGTTTTGCAACGCCTGGCGTCTAGGACGGCCCTGTGGCCGGAAATGTACCCAGCTGATGCTCATGATGCTCCCCTCCTGCCTCGTCAAATGCACACTCGGGCTGTTGGTTTTGCAACGCCTGGCGTCTAGGACGGCCCTGTGGCCGGAAATGTACCCAGCTGATGCTCATGATGCTCCCCTCCTGCCTCGTCAAATGCATGCAATCACTCGGGCTGTTGGTTTTGCAACGCCTGGGCGTCTAGGCGGCCCGGTGGCCGGAAATGTACCCCGCTGATGCTCATGATGCCCCCCTCCTGCCTCGTCAAATGCATGCAATCACTCGGGCAGTTGGTTTTGCAACGCCTGGCGTCCAGGACGGCCCTGTGGCCGGAAATGTACCCAGCTGATGCTCATGATGCCCCCCTCCTGCCTCGTCAAATGCATGCAATCACTCGGGCAGTTGGTTTTGCAACGCCTGGCGTCTAGGAGGGCCCTGTGGCCAGAAATGTACCCAGCTGATGCTCATGATGCCCCCCTCCTGCCTCGTCAAATGCATGCAATCACTCGGGCAGTTGGTTTTGCAACGCCTGGCGTCTAGGAGGGTCCTGTGGCCAGAAATGTACCCAGCTGATGGTCATGATGCCCCCTCCTGCCTCGTCAAATGCATGCAATCACTCGGGCAGTTGGTTTTGCAACGCCTGGCGCCTAGGAGGGCCCTGTGGCCAGAAATGTAACCAGCTGATGCTCATGATGCTCCCCTCCTGCCTCGTCAAATGCATGCAATCACTCGGGCAGTTGGTTTTGCAACGCCTGGCGTCTAGGAGGGCCCTGTGGCCAGAAATGTACCCAGCTGATGCTCATGATGCCCCCCTCCTGCCTCGTCAAATGCATGCAATCACTCGGGCAGTTGGTTTTGCAACGCCTGGCGTCCAGGAGGGCCCTGTGGCCGGAAAGGTACCCCGCTGATGCTCATGATGCTCCCCTCCTGCCTCGTCAAATGCATGCAATCACTGTTGGTTTTGCAACGCCTGGCGTCTAGGAGGCCCTGTGGCCAGAAATGTACCCCGCTGATGCTCATGATGCCCCCTCCTGCCTCGTCAAATGCATGCAATCACTCGGGCAGTTGGTTTTGCAACGCCTGGCGTCTAGGACGGCCCTGTGGCCGGAAATGTACCCCGCTGATGCTCATGATGCCCCCCTCCTGCCTCGTCAAATGCATGCAATCACTCGGGCAGTTGGTTTTGCAACGCCTGGCGTCTAGGACGGCCCTGTGGCCGGAAATGTACCCCGCTGATGCTCATGATGCCCCCCTCCTGCCTCGTCAAATGCATGCAATCACTCGAGTTGCAACGCCTGGCGTCTAGGACGGCCCTGTGGCCGGAAATGTACCGAGCTGATGCTCATGATGCTCCCCTCCTGCCTCGTCGAATGCGCGCAATCACTCGGGCAGTTGGTTTTGCAACGCCTGGCGTCTAGGACGGCCCTGTGGCCGGAAATGTACCCCGCTGATGCTCATGATGCCCCCCTCCTGCCTCGTCAAATGCATGCAATCACTCGGGCAGTTGGTTTTGCAACGCCTGGCGTCTAGGACGGCCCTGTGGCCGGAAATGTACCCCGCTGATGCTCATGATGCCCCCCTCCTGCCTCGTCAAATGCATGCAATCACTCGGGCAGTTGGTTTTGCAACGCCTGGCGTCTAGGACGGCCCTGTGGCCGGAAATGTACCCAGCTGATGCTCATGATGCTCCCCTCCTGCCTCGTCAAATGCATGCAATCACTCGGGCAGTTGGTTTTGCAACGCCTGGCGTCTAGGACGGCCCTGTGGCCGGAAATGTACCCAGCTGATGCTCATGATGCTCCCCTCCTGCCTCGTCAAATGCATGCAATCACTCGGGCAGTTGGTTTTGCAACGCCTGGCGTCTAGGAGGGCCCTGTGGCAAGAAATGTACCCAGCTGATGCTCATGATGCGCTCCTCCTGCCTCGTCAAATGCATGCAATCACTCGGGCAGTTGGTTTTGCAACGCCTGGCGTCTAGGACGGCCCTGTGGCCGGAAATGTACCCCGCTGATGCTCATGATGCCCCCCTCCTGCCTCGTCAAATGCATGCAATCACTCGGGCAGTTGGTTTTGCAACGCCTGGCGTCTAGGACGGCCCTGTGGCCGGAAATGTACCCCGCTGATGCTCATGATGCCCCCCTCCTGCCTCGTCAAATGAATGCAATGCAATCACTCGGGCAGTTGGTTTTGCAACGCCTGGCGTCTAGGACGGCCCAGTGAAGTGCCGGGCTTCGCATGCCATGTGCATGAATCGTCCGGCTTCCTCGACTCCAGCTTCGGTAGTTACAGTAGTAGAGATAAATCATGTGCATTGCCCGGGCCCAGGCTGTGGATGCCACTGCGCCAAGAGACCCGACGCTGCTCTGCTTTAGTCAGCGGGTTTTTTGTGCATCCTGAGCCCTTCAACCGAGCCGTGACGAAAACTTTCTGCTAGCTGAGGTTCGTTTCCTGGTCTGGCGCGTGCCCGAAAGCTGGGACGGGCAGGGTCTGTCCGACAGACGTGCATGCCTGGCGGTGGTTCGACTGCATGTTGTTAGTAAAACTTGCTTTGGACCCATCATGCCGCTTGGGATGCTCTGAGTTTGGAGGTGATCTTGGCAGAAGCGCTTCTGCTAAAACGCGTGGCGGCGTTGCCCGTCTTCACCTTGGCAGCTCAGCACAACAACGGCAGGTCACGAGCCTCGGACCTCATGGAATACCTCTCACTTCGACACGTGCCCGTGCAGACCGTTGCGATCGAAGGCGGCAAGATGAGCAAAATGAGAGCACGCCAGAGGTGAGTACAGCAAAAAGAGAGTACCGAGTGCTGTATTGCTATCCAATATGAGCACGAATCGTTCCTGCCAGTCTTCGTTCCTTTCTGTTCCTTTTAGAAGATCATGTCGAGGCCTGCCTCCGACAGTGTGGGAGGACGCGGTGGAGGTGTTCGGCGAAATGGACCCTGAGCATTGGCGGGGAGCACCCGCCCAGGCGCTGATACGTCATACCCGGGAGACCTTCTGGAGATCCGGGATCCACGCCTCCGTGATGAAGCTTGCCGGCGAACTTCATGGGACGGGGATGCAGCCCACCGCAGGGCTCTTCGACCCATCGCCCAGAGTGGCAGAGGTCGCTGCCCAGATGAATTGTGTAGCCAATGGAAGAGGGGAAGTGACTTGCCGGACTCGCAAGAAGCACCCCCTCTCAACTGTTCTTGCGCTGTTTTGTTCAATCGAGTCCCGAGGCTGCCCGAGTTCGACGGCGATTGGGGCCTGCGTATGTGGGCGTGCATGTTAGGCTCAGAGACATGCTCTCGTTCGCATCGCGTAGTACCAAAGAGTTTCTTTTTTGACAGTCCGACACTTCCGTTTGGTCACATGAAGGGGCACATGGTTGCAGCTTCTCAAAGTGACTTGGAAGGCGTGGGGACAAACTTCTCATGCCGGGCCTGGATGCCGCAACTCAGCCAGAGGCAGTGGCGGACCGCGTCGCGCAGCTGGCACCAATGGGTGTGAGAACAGTGCCACTGGGCGCAGCACATACCCTTCGTTTCCCAAGTCTGACAGCTTGCAACTGGTGTGTTTCAGTGTATATTAACCTACTCTGGTCCTAGCAACTAGTCCTAGGCAGGGAGAAGCTGACAATCCGCCTGAAGTCTTGATGCTGCTTAGGTATGTTGCCACAAATGACACGAAAGCAGACTATGGCACTGCGCTAGCCAAGAGGGGCTTCCGTTGCTTCAGCTCACACTGCTGGGCTCTGACCTCCACGGCTGGCATAGAGGACTTGGCAGACAACTTTTTCATTTTTGCCGTGGAGATGCAGATTGTGGATGCTGCCACAGTCTGTGTCCGAACGTTCAATGATTCCATGCCATGGTACAGGGCCAGTCTGACAAAGCCGTCCCACCATTTAATGGACCGCAGCATGCACGACTACGTTTTTGGCTTCAGTGCCACAGGTACCTCATGCTCCTGGCCTGAGAGCCCCCTTGTCAGTCTCGTGAACCTGGATGCAGGCATGAAGCACCCAAGGGGCTCAAGGAGATGTGCTGAAGGAGAGGAACGAAGGCCCAAACCCTGCGACTACAGCATTGCAGTTTTTGAAGGTGAGAGAAGAGATTGGTGGGAGCTGCCGGCATGCATTTGGCCAATGGAGGTGCGTGGTGGCACTTGTGAAGGAACCTTCGAGCTGCTGGAGCCCACACTTCGGAATGTCTCCTCGGGAATGTCCGTATGGACCGAGTATTTCGGTGCCCTTGCAGCTTTCACAGATTCCATCGCTGCAGGTCTGTCACGTAGGTCCACACTCTACGGGTTCGAGAATGTCTCCGAGAAGCACCGAAATTTGACTTCTGGAGTTGTGCCTCGGCGCGGAGCAGTCTTCTGCTACGCATCCATGGGAAGTGCTCTTCTTCGAGACCGGCATGGCACTTTCGAGATAGTTGCTGGTCAGTACTGTGTCGTCCCAGCTCCTCTGCGGATTGAACTACACGGCAACACCAGGTTGGTAGCCATCCACACGCATCCCTTTGAACCTTTGCGCACCATGGGCGGGCCGATTGAAAGCAAGGGCCGGCTGCGCTACGTGGATGGCTGCAGCGACACGCTTCTGCTGGCTCCTCCCAGGCTTTCGGACCCCTGCTTGAACTTCCTGCATTTCCCGCCGAATATCCATCAAACCTTACACACCCACCCCTCCGTGCGCTGCGGGCTTATTGCCAGCGGAGCCGGGTACTGCTTAGACGCCGAGCTCCGCAAGCTGGAGCTGCAAGAGGGCATGGTTTGGGCGATCCCCAAAGACACCGTCCATTCCTTCCATACGGCCGAGTCGAAGCAGGAGCTGAATGTCATCGCCTTCCATCCAGACTCAGACTGGGGCCCGATGGACGAGGACCACCCCATGCTGAACCGCACGTGGGTGGACGGAAAGAAGATTGACAATTGCGCCCAAAGCCATCGAAATCCCGACATGCTTCGCACCGATCAGTCGCTGGCGCAGCAACTGGCGCAGCATCTCTCGCAGCTGGCCCCGGCGGGGAAGCAAGGACTGGCAGCGACTTGCACCACTGCACCACTGTAACGGCACAGCCCAGTAGCGGTGTGTTTGGCAATCCCCGAAATCCTGAAGTTTCCACGTTTTCTCAGGAACCGGCTCATCTGCCGAAACTTGGGCTGCGCATTTGGTGCTTATCGAAGTTGTGGAGTCGGAAGAACCGCGCCCTGTGGAGCTCCGCGAGCTGCGCCAGGTGTCTCGAAAGATTGTCCATGCAAGCAAAAAGCACGACACCGGCACGACATTCGAGGTTCGAGATTCGAGATAAGCCAGATAAGCACGACAAAAACCACACACGACCGCCAAGGCCCCTTCCGACCCTTCCGACTCACCCAACATGCTGGTTTGCCGGGCCGAGCTGAGCAACGTGCAGTCCGCGCAGCCACTGCAGAGGTTGTCGCTGGACCTTGAGGCCACCGATGCTTGATTTCGTAGCATGGATTGAAGCTTGACGCCGGCCTGAAATCTGTAATTGGTGTTCCGGTGGCCCTCACAACGCATTAGATCTAGGAACAGATTGCATGCTACAAGATCAAACCCACCCGCAAAATTTGTGAAGATGATGAACGCCGAGTCTTAAGTCCCTGCGCGAATCAGGACGCAGATGGCTACCCAAGAGCTCGGACAGCAAAGCTGGACAAAGGATCCGGCCTTTTGCGTGTGTGTCCTGCAGCGAAAATGACACAGCGCCACGCCGCCACTCGTCAGGGAGCTCAGAGTGCACTTCCCAGTCTCCGCCAAATCCCTCGTAACGCCTGCGAAATCGAGAGGTGAAGCTGCTGGCAAGCAGCGAGAGAGAAGCTGGGAAACTCTTGCACATGTGCATCCGCAGCTTGTGAGAGTTCCGACCGAAGTTCATGGCAGGGAATGGATCTATGTGTCACAACCACACGTTGGAGAGTTTTCCAGCTTGCTGTAGCTATTGTGACCTTTGGCCCTCTACGCGTACTAGTGCCAGCCATGGGCTACCGCGTTGGGGGTCCTTGGGGATCTGCTCCGCCCGATGCGGCGCAGAAGCGGACCCAGGTCACTGGGAGCATTTGGCCTGTCCTTCGCTTCTAATTCAGCCGTAGAGACATGGCCAGGTTAATCGTCCAGATGAGAATCGTTTCGTGACGACTTATACCAAGACCTTCTGCGGAGCCCTTAGAAGCTATGCTAGTCTAACCAAAGCCACTGAACTCAGTTGCTGCTGCTTCTCCGATTCTCCAATGCCAGCTTGGCTTGTGTCGATAACTACACGGCGAAGCGCAACACCGAGGCGTATCAAGGTCGCAGTCGGGCATGGTGGTCAATCCGCCCAAGAAAGCATTACTGCCACAGATCGGCAGTGACCCTCAGAGCCCTGGCTTTTCTAGAGTTTTAGAGCTAAGCTTGAGGGTTTGGAGGTGAGTTGGGGTCATTACTTCGTGAGCGCTTGTCGTCTTGATTGAAAGGTGCCCTGATACCTTCGTAGCTGTCGATGTTACAAAAAGCAATTTGGCCTGTCTCGTGCACGTGTCGGACCACTGCACCGGATGCTCACTGCACCCTTTGGAGATTATAAGCATCGTCAGAACCCTCGGCCCACCTCCAACACTGCAAGCATAAATGGGCCGATGATTGTCGCGTAGCCGATCAGGATTTGAGGTTCTGGGTCCAGGTTGCTAGTGTTTGTTCGTACAAGCCCCGAATTGCCCAGATAAGCGCTTGCTAAGGTTTCGGGCCTTCTCCCAACATTTGGATGTTTGAAATGGTCTTGTGCCATCAACACTTAACGTTTGAGCACCCGTGTGAAGGTTTTCGGGTTTGACTGGATGGAGAAGCCTAAAACGCCAAAGCGCGCAGAGAGGTGCATACCATAAAAAACCCCTTTTTTCAAACCATCAAAGGGCTCAACAGTTGCCAGAAGTTCTAGGAATGGATAAGCTACTGGGACACAATAAATGCTCAAGATGATCGGCAGCTCGAGCCCGTGAGGATTGCTTCCTTCAAGGGCGCGCCTACCCCTGTGGCTTGAGCCGGAATGGAGCTTGAAAGGCATTTGCATACACTCCAACGCCTCTGTTATTCAATCACTAGAAGACGCAGGCAAACTTGCGGTGGCGTGGAGTGAAGTTGTCACACACTCGTTCCGAGGCAAACAGCATCAACCCGATGGCGAGTCTGACCATGACCGGCACAAAGTCCATGACAAAGTCGCTCTCCAACGGGTCTCTGCAGTTGGCAGGTGCCAGAGCTTTTGCATTGTGGTGTCGTCTTTGTCGCTCGGGAAGTGCGCGCCCTCGCGATAATCCGAGAGTAATTATGCAAGTTTGCGTGCGAGGCCGTGCGCTGTCAACGCAAGCCAAGATGACGTACCAAGACGAGCCAGAATCTCAATCTGTCAGCACACGGGAGATTTTAGCAGCTTTTTGGAGTGCGGACATGTTTCCAAGAGAAGGTTGACGGGGACCCTCATGTTGAAGACCTTCAAGAATCGAGCTCCTCGGACTCAGTGCCCATCCGTGCCCCTACCCTGCTGCTTTGCTGTGCGTGTGAAGGTCAGAGTAAGATGTCAGTGCCGGGCTGCTTCGGTGTGTCATCCAGATGCCTTTTCCTTGGTTCCCGACGAAACAAGGACATGCGGCGGAAGTGTCTGGAGCTCTTGGCTCGACCTGATCTGAGAGATATTGCGCAGGAGACCAGAAGGGTATTGAGTGTTTTCGGGTTCTCGGGTCGTTTTCGGGTCGTTCTCTTAAGTTGGATCTTGGGAGCTGTTGGGCTCAGCATCTGCAGTTCGTCTGCCCATGCATGCTTTCATGGCAATAGCTGAGCGGCATGCTTACATGAAGAGAAAACATGTCCGGCACCACTCCCAGTGATGATCTGTTGCATTGATGTGGATGTGCACAGGTTGGTGTACAGGGTTGGGAGTCAGGTTGGATGGTTCTAGAGCGACCGGTTGTGTTCAGGGACCTGAGTGTGCTACAAACGCTTCAAAAGGGCCTGCAGCTGGCAGGACCTTTTCACGCAGAGCGACGCGGATAACAGTGGCGAGCTGGAATTCGCAGAAATCCAAAAGTTGTTTGAGAGGCCCCCATGTGCGCATGTGCTTGTGCAGCACACTTTGGGAAATGGTGCTTGATGACGCGGAGGCTCCATAATGAGATGGACCTGCCGCAGCCCAATCGCGATTTGATTGTCGATCGGCCTTAGTTTTTTTCGGACAGGTTGTGTGCTACATCCTGCATGGACATGACTTTGTTCGCGTCTGCTTTCGCCATCTTCAGTTCTGGCAAACGCAAGTAGGAGATGAGAGCTGCACAGGGCGCGCCATCGATGCCTCTGACATCGCATGACATGTCATGCGAAGTTCTTGGAGCTGCCAGGAGTCATTGCTCAAGCGATTTGACACCACTGGAAGAAAAGTCTTGGGCCAGTACGATTTCTTTGAGCAACTTGGACAGAGTTTCACTCGTCCAGTAGCATCTCAGGGGTTTCGAGTTTCCTTGCCCCAAGCCTACGGCAAGTTTAGCGAAGGAGGTTCCCCACGTGTTCCCGTCAGGTTACTGGTGTCGCAGCTGCGGCGAAGCGCCTTCGACCGTGGATCTGTGCTGGGAAGGGAGTTCTTCTTGACCAAAGGTGCGCAGGGACAACCTGTACAGGGAACCCTAAACCCTAAACCCGAAACCCTAAACCCTAAACCCCTAAAGGAGTTCGTAGGATCCCAGACCACCACCCAAAAAAGGCCTCAACTTCAAAAAATCTGACCAGGAAAGCAGGATGTCTGGGAAGTCTTCCGCAGGGAGAAGCAGCTTGGAACCGGCTCCTTCGGCACAGCCTACAAGGCCCCCCCTCATGCCCCTCCCCCTTAATAAATTACACGAGAGTCTGCTAGCTATGAGAGCGGCTCTCTTCTTTGTTGGGATATGGGCTATTTTATAAGGTGGGCTGTAGCTGTGATCCGCAGGCCAAGCACATCAAGACGGGTGAGGAGCGGGTGATCAAGGCGGTGAAGAAGAGCCGCACGGCCTTGCCGCTTGACGAGATCGAGCAGGAGATCCTGATCATGAGGCCGACCCGGAGTTTGGAAGGATCTGCTAAAGCCGTGGATTTCGCGGCCTCAGTGCACATGATGCTTTAACTGGGATATTTGTTTTGTGCTTGGCTGATGAAGCATTCGTCCCAAGTTTCAGGCTGTTTCTTGTTTCGTACGTCGCGGATTTTCACCTGGTGCCAGTCCACGTGTGCAGGCAAATCGACCATCCAAACATTGTCCGCCTTTTCGAGTGGTACGAGGATGGAAATCGGATTTATTTGGTGTTGGACTACTTGAAGGGTGGTTCCCTGAAAGACAACGTCTTGAAGCTCAACAAGCAGGAGAGGGGGGGAGAAAGCGCAATAACGCCATGCTTTCTGCACCACTGTGTGTGCAGTGTAGAGCCCCCCCCCCCCCTTGCCCCCCCCCCCCCTTGTCTGCAACAAGCTGCTTGGAGGATGAGCGAGGCCTGAAGGAAGCTTGGATCCGGGAGGTTATCCAGCAGAGTGCCGGAGGGCTGGCTTACTGCCACACCCTTCGCTTAATCCATAAAGACTTGAAAGACGAGAACATCATGCTGCTGCAGACACTCCCTTGCATCTGGTGTGCGAGTTGCTGTGGTAGAGGCCGCTGTAGCAGCACACGGACCGTGACTTTCATTGGCCACCTTGTGCTCGGTGAAAGGAAGTCGGCCAACTGGGAGAAGCCTCATGTGTCTTAGCTACAGGAAGAGCCTCGAATGTTGCCATGTTGCCAAGAAGTCCCCGCGACAGTCCCCATGCAGGTGGTGATCATCGACCTGGGGGTTGCAGAGATGTTCTCTGTCGCGGACCCTGCGGGCCGAATGATTGGGGGCACGCCTACGACAATGGCACCAGAGGTGCACGGCTTAGGGGTTTGCTCGGGATGCTGGCATGATGCTGGTACAAGGGAATGTCGGCAGCGCCAGGTTTGGATGGGAACATTTGGCCCCAAATGCGATGTTGGGACCTCAGTCAGCCTGGCAAAGCACGGCTTGGATCGGTTGGTGGCCTGCCAATTTCGCTAAGCCACCGTATGCTCGTTGCAAACCTTTGCAAAAATGAGTCGGGAAGCGTGATTGCAGTGAGCCGCACGCGACAGTCGAACGTGCGCGATGCACGGTGTTGAGGGCAAAGGGTTAAAGCCACAATTATGCTCCACCAGTGTGCAGAAAGTAGTCCACCAGATTCGATCAGCATGGTCACCAGAGCTCAGAACTCGTGCAACAGCTCGATTGTGGGCTTGCAATGCAAAGTGGCAAAAGTTGGGGGAAGTGACTGAGGTGTGGTCCCTGGGATGTATCATGTATGAGCTCTGCACTGGCTCGCTGCCATTCATGGCGAACACGCTGCAGCCCAGTGCCTGGACTCGCCTCCACAAACGTGGGCCCAAGCCACGCGCCCAGATTTGCGGGCCTCTGGGTGGCTCTTCTTGTCATCTGGTGGTAATACGCAGGTGTTGACCACAGGCTGTGTGGTAGCATGCAGTAGCAAAAGCTCAAGTGTTACTGGTTGCCAGATGGGACGACATGAAGACTTGCGCCGACAGCAAGGCTCAGCATGACTACGTAGACCATGTGAGTGTGCGTTTTGACAAGGACCTGGAAACTGGATGAAACTGGGAGTTCATAGTCATAGGACTGATAACCTGCCCCAAGCCCGATGTCCGACGAGGATAGAACGCCCTCCCCTACGATGCACCCTCGTCAAAAGTCGCCCGGATGTTTACCCATCGAGTATTCCAGCTTCCATCACTGACCTGCTACTTGCTGTAAGCTTGTTACCAATTTATGCGTTTGCACATCTAGATAGGATACTCATGCTTTCATAGCATGTGGGGCTGTCACGCAACTCGGATGTTTACAGCAGTTGAAGCGCTCGAAAACAAAGTCGTTGCACTTGCACCGTTTGGAGCTCGCACATCTATTTGAGTGGTGAAGAACTTCGCAGAGTCTGTTACTTGCGCGCAGAGTTTGAAAAGCAAATCCAGGCAACAAAAGCGCACAACACATCAGCCAGCCAATCGTCGTGGTAGAAGTACGACGCTCACCTCAGCTGATAGCTCCCTCAAAGTGCATTCCCTCGCCTTGGGCAAACTCTAAATGGCAAATGCAGGGGGAATAGCAGGCTGCACTGGAACTTGACGACAATGCCTTTGGCAGGTTCTGTGCAAGGCCATGCTTCAGTATGATGAAGGGGAGAGACCTTCAATGGCACAAGTCTTGCAGCTCCTTGGCAGAAACGATCCCCTATCAAAATGCTTGGCTTGCCAGCAAGGTTGTGGGCACCAGCACGCGCGTTGTAACTTGAGGTATCTTGAGGTGTTGAGGTGACAAGGTTTCAAGTGTCTCGCTCGCTAAGGTTCTCGTACTTTCAGCTACCTGGCTTGTCAATGCACCGCATCTGCTCGTCCGATCAAATCTGCAAACAAAGGATAGCAGCTCATGAGCTGAAGTTTGTGCCGCCGGAGAAGTTTGCCAGCTTTTTGAACGCGCACAAATTGCACCGAGCGAGGCGCACGGTGTCTTGCAATGGCCGGTATGACCTGCGGTTGCGTTATGCACAGTGCATCGTGCATGGAGTGCGTGGCATGCTCGGTTGCGTTGGAACCGTTATTACGCAAACAAGTGCATTCTCAGAGGTAAGAGTAAGATCTTACACTCCCTTGTTGGGCTGGCATGGTCGGCATTGTGCTTCAGGCAGGGGCTGCTGCTCGAAATTGCGGCACGGTTGCCCTTCCGACGTGCCGGCGAGATCATCCGCATGCCTTTTGGCTGTGGTGAGTTTTTTTTCATGAGGAAATGGCTGAAGCCGTCTTGAGATGTGGATTCTGAATTCCGACTCAGGTTCTCTGAGGTGGATGAAGATAAGACCGGCACAATCACGCTTGATGAGCTGATGGCGTACTTCGCGAAAGTCGGTATCCATGACGAGGCACGCAGGGCGATGAACCAACTACGCCCACCAAAGGATTGTAAAAACCGCTCTTTAGATGACCTTAGATTTTTGGCAGAACATGGCAGAACTCTTAGAACTCCTCCACAGCCCATGAAAAAAAGCAGCGGTACCTGACAGGACCTGGACAAAACCTTCGCGGCCCTTGATGTGCCCCTGCTTAAATCCAAGCTTTGGTCTGTTGCCGCAAGCTGACGAGGTCGTGATGTGTGGGTGTATGGGGTGTTAGTTTGCGGTTGTTGCTTCTGTTGCTGCTGCAGCAGCCGCTGCCGTCTTCTTGTGGTTGTAATATGCGTACTGCCCCTGGTTCCAACTCGACGCCCGCTCGTTCTCAGCCGGGGCTGCGCTCATGCGGCGCTCATTCCTGACCTGAATGTGACTCCCCTGCCACCCTGTCTTGACTGGAGTGGGGGGCCACACCAGATCTCTTGAGGTGGACAAGGATGGCCTTTTGTCCTTCAGCGAGTTTGCCGCCGGAGCACTGCTGCTGTACCAAGATGCGCTGGAAGATGAGCTTCACATGCTCTTCGAGACGTGCGACAAGGACCTGTTTGACCAGACAGGTTCATTTTGGCCGGCTGTCAGTTCACTGGTCAGCATTCCGTGCAGGACAACGACGGTATTCTCAACACCCAGGAGGTGGGCAGAACGTAGGCACCTGTAGGCACTAGTTGGTCGACGCACCTGTGCTGTCAGTGCTGTCATGGTGTCGACTCTGCAGGCGGAGACGTTTCTGGGGAGCGTGCGTGCTGCCACCGACCTGGGCGGCAAAGTGTCGTCCAGAACCGAGGCAGTGACTTGTACGTAGTTAGTGCAACCGCGCATCGATCGCACCGTTGCAACGGAACAGGCGTTCTTGCAGAGCGGGCAAATCTCTTTCCAGCAGCTGCACCTTGTCACGCAGAGATTTAGAAAAGTAGCAAACTAGTCGGAGGCACTTCGAGAGTCAGGGTTGTGACATGTTGTGACCGTAATTACGGCTGTCTCATTGCCCCGTGCAATTTAGCGCGTGGCAACACCGAGGAAGGAGTTCTTGATGGCACCCTTGTCGTCGCGACCTTCAAGCGCGGCCTCGTCCCGCTCGTCCCGCCTTTCTAGCCGAACCTCCCAGGCGCCTTTGCATGCCACGAGGATCCACGAGGTGTTGTGCAGCGTGTTGTCATGACAACCCTTGGCAGGTTGGAGCTTCAGCACGTGCTTGACATGGAGGTAATGCCTGCGGGGCCTACTGAACGAAGTCAAGCGCTTATTGTGAGATACTACGCATCTTTGGCGTCGGAATCTCACTATGACGTCGATGTCAGGTCCAGGCAGCTGCCGATGCTAAGCCAAGACATGCCCTAATTCACCGAATCGTGGAAGATCGAGTTCCCTGCATGGGACCTCCGTTGCGTTTGAGTGCCCGCTGTGCTGTACAGTCCCCGCCCAAAGAACGGCAGTCGTGGAGATGATTTAGGCAAGAGTAGTGAAGAAGGTCAATGCGAGGAAGAAGGAGCTTAAGATGTCTTTTTCTTAAGCTGCCCTAAGGGCCATGTTTAACCGCGGCTTCAGGCGGGCTCGTGCCAAGTTTGGCCGTATTTCAGCAGCGGGACTGAAACGTGATTTCACTGCTTTACCTACATGGCAACTGCCAGAGGTCATGTTGATTTTGTCGATGCAAAGTTCGGGCAAGTTGCCTTCAGTTCTACGGATGAGCTTAAAAGCTTGGTTGACTCGAAAATCAACATGGCAACTGGCAGACATCGCAAAAGCGATGTCTGCTGCTTCGGCAACCTCTGGAAGCTGCATCGTTGATGCACTCATGTGCCATGTGCCGTTTCACTGCATGCCGATGCCGAAGCTTTCATCCCTAATTCCTTGACGGTCTCGTGACTCGTGCGCCGTTGCAGAAGCCGTGGGAGAAACTGATGTTTTCGCCCGGCGTATTTCAAGGGCAACTGGGGTCCCGCAGGCTTGGATGTTCGCAGAGCAAACTTGCCGTTCGCACTTTGTGCTGTGAACGAATGCCGCCGGCCTGTGGCTCAAAAGTACTGATTCACACCTGAAGACCTTTCTGGCGCGGAGCCATGCAGTCCGGAACCCAGAAAGTCGGAGAGAAGAAAGTGATGTGTCGCCGTCTTGCTGTGCTTGAGGTGGGTCCCGCCGGTTGGGCTAGCTCCACCCATGGCCGCTGTCCATAACCATCAGGGCGAGAAAGTTCATGAGACGTATCCAGAAGTCTAGATATTTCGCGAGATGTGGAGGTTTGCCCGCGTGTTTTCGAAGCTGTGTGAGCCAAGGCGGCGCCTGTGAATCCGATGAGCCCACAGATGTGCCGCCACCACGTGCGGCTGACGCGCTCGCCCAGCCCGACGCGCACCGTTGTGGGCCCAATGGCACCGTCAATGGTTTCGCCCATGGCGCAGCAGCCCATGATACACTATGGAGGTCAAGTGGCCCCGGTTGTAAGATCTGTACAGCATGCCAGTAGTCTGGTCCCTTAAAATGGGTTAAATTGGGGCCAGGACGAGCCACGCCGCAGCCAATGCCTGGGATGGCTTTCAAGCCGCTTGGCAGAATGGCAATCAAGTTTCTCCCTTAATCGACCTGCATAAGTCTCTTGGAGGGTGTGGGCATGAGCTTTTTCAAGGCCTGCCCCAGCGGCTGTGCCGGTCGCGATGACGGCCACGCAGAGGCAGCTGACCTTGCCATGGCTTGGCAGGCAGGTGTGGTAGCTCTTGAATTTCTGGCAGTGGCATGTCAGGTATTTCCCCAGCGTGTCTGTCAGCCCCACGGGCGCCGGCTATCCGACCGGCCCAGCGGCCGGGGCTCAGATGCCACGATTGTTGAGGCAGGCTGTAGTGCGTCCTTCTTGATGAGGATGATGGATGATAAAGTGACGGCAGCGATGCTGATAGGCCCTTGAGCATAGTCAGGAGCACGAGGAACACGATGCTGATGTCGTGATGAACGTCCACATGTGCGGAATTGAGTTTCCTTGTAGCACATGCCATTGGAGCTAATACAGGTGAAGGGGTAGGTTGAAGGTTGTAGCTGCATGAATTTCAGCCTTGGAGTGTCATCAGCCCAGCTAGCCAACTGATGCGGCTGGAACACCGACCTACACTTGCGAGGTCCGAGGACGGCGCTGCACCAGCATGGAAGGACATGCAGCAGCGCCTGGGTCGAACAGCTTCCTCCGTGGCCACGACGGTACCACCAGGCCGGTGCCATAGCGCCACACAAGACGAAGACGAAGAAGACGAAGACGACGAAGACGAAGACGAAGAGTCGCTAGCACAGCTGTCATCAGGAGGAAGAAGGCAGGCAGAAGCAGTAAGGTTCGTGAGACCAATCTCTGTCAAAAACTGTAGCGACGGTCGACGGGGAAATTCGTGCCAGCTCAAGCTCGGTGCCTGAGCTTCGGTGGGAACTTTGCAATTTCCAGTCCTCGAATGACCCGGGGGTGATGCCGAGGGTGCTATTAGCATGTTTTGGCGCCCATAGTTCGCGACGTACTCCTCATAGCCAGGATCTCCTCCTGCCGAACATGCAGCCTCTTCGTTGCTTGCGGTCTCCGCGTGCCAAAGCCCAACGCCATCTCAGCAGCCGGCAAGATTGGTGAAACCCACCCACCTGCGCCTTGCCTTCGTTTTGCCTTCGTTACAACAAAGCTTTGACTTGTATACTTGTTTGCCTCAGCTGCAGTCGCCACACAAACCATGCCCAGCTTTTCCCTTAAAAGTGGGGAAGCTGAGGGAGAGTGTCTGAGAGTGTCCTGCCAGGCTGGATGTGAAGGTCGGCGAGTCGCCTTCGCCTACACCTCCAGTGCCCGGCTCGCCAGTGGAGCTCCCCTGGACCCGGTTGGCCTCGGGCACGCTGGAACAAGGCCCCCACAACTAGGGGTACCTTCTTGGGGTCCTTTGTGATACGTTGATCCCACACTTTGGTGATCTTTATGGCGCATCGCAGTGCAAACGAAAGGAAGCACGACTTCTTCTTTCTATAACTTTACAGTGAAAATATACATGCACGTATATGCACATATATGCACGATTCCCGAGTCAGAGTTCAAGCCAACTTCAACGGACCAGCTCTTGGAAGGAGGCGAGCACATCCGCGCAACTTCTTCTTTTGTTTTTTTGTTTTTTTTTTGTTTTTTGTTTTTTCGCTTTTCAAGTATTTGGGGCAGCAGAGGGTGCCTCTTGGAATGCGCTTTTCCCCCGAGCGGCGAGCACACCGCACGTGCCAGGACTCGCGGATGAAGTCAAAGCCGACCTTCGTAGAAGCAGCGCCCTGGCAGAGTCTGGCAGAGTCTGGCAGAGTGCGATGTGCAGTCGCTGCCGAGGATGAGGGTTGAGGGCAGCGACGCCTTTTGCAAGTGCTGCGAGGAGCTGAAAGTAAAGCCGAAGATGTTCGAAGCATGGGTGCGGCACCATCGGTATACCTGTGTTGATGGGCACCGGCTACACCTTTCTGGGCTCCCACGTCCTACGCCTCCTAAATGACCTCACAGCCCTAGCACCGCAGTCACACTATGTCACACTGCATCTAATCAGAGCCAAGTCATGGAGCTCAACAGTGCCCTGTTGAGCTTGTTCTGCGCAGCCCTGAGCTGTATCTGGAGTGCAACAGGTGGGGAAGCCAGAGGCAGCGCAACCCCCCAAGGCAGGGTCGGCTGGGCTGTTTGTCGTCTCAACTAGCATAACTAGCCTTCGCATGAACCCAATTACAATGCAAGCGCTTATTAAGACCGTGCGAGGGTTAGGTCAGGTCAAGGCTCAGATTCTTAACTTGAGAGTAGCTTGTTTGGCGTGTGTTTTGCTGCTGTTCCGGCTTCATGGAGGGCTCAGGTTCTTCGCACATTCTTGATCTGGGATTTGAGACAGCAACCTATGATTGAGGCCTTCTTGCGAAAAGCTTGCAAGCTAAGAATCTCTTGATTGGGGAATTTTGTGATTAAAAGGTAGATTAAAATTCGGGGCTTGCTTCAAAAAGCCCTGGGTTAAGGACTCTCAAATCAAGGGGCGGAAACGACTCAATGCGTAAGAAATTTCAGCCCTCAAATTCTTAAGTACGGAATTCTTAGCCAGTACTCCCGCTGCAACAAGAACCCCAGCATGTCTTATCTGGATGTACCGAACTGAGCCGATGTGTGCCAAGCTCGCCCCCTACCATTCCGTCAAAAACGAGGCGAGCTGAAAGCCGATGCGAGAACACTCGGCCGGACGCTCGATCTTGGCAAGTCGTGACAAGCTGCTGGCTGTCCACTTTCCACCGGGGGCTGCATGAGCCTGTTCTGGAGCCTGACATGACCATGCTGTGAGTGAGTAACGTGCCCAAGGCCAAGAAAAGAAAGCAGATACCATTGCAAGCCAGGAGAAGAAAGCCGATGCCAGACGTGCGGGTGCCCGACTCAGCTTGCTTTGCCAGGTGGGAGAGGATGCGTTGGTTCTCGATCATAGCTTGGTCACTCGCAGGTGAGGAAACGAAGGCTGATGCCAGAAGAGCAGGTGTGCGCATGAATAATGTGTTCGTTTGGTGTGGGATGACCAACCGGTGGCACTGCTTGGCACAGGTGAGGAGAGGAAAGCGGAGAAAGCAGAGACTCTTAGAGCAGACAGAAGTCTGGGACCCAGCGTGGGACCATATGAGACCTAGAGCCCAAGAGTCGCGTGCTACAGACTCGCGTGCCCAAGAGCCCGAGGCGACGAGCGGCGAGCGGAGCTTAGAGGAAGAGGCGCGTATGTATGGGGGTGCAAGGCAATGCAAGGCCTTTGGATTTGTCTGCTTCGACATGTAGAGCACCTCCACATGTAGACTTAGAGCTGCGCTCCAAGGAGACGAGCGCCACGAAGTGCGGGTGAGAGGTGCGAGTGCACGGCCACCTGCGCATCGCATGGGTTTCGGCTTATATGGCTTAATGGACTTCTGGTTTCAGGCAATGGCACTACGGAATGTCCTGGTACAGCCATTGAAACACCAGGTGATGACGTGAGAGCAGCCGCGAGAGGAAGAGGTGCCCGGGCTTGTTCGGGCTATTCTCGCATGGCCTATGCGGAAAATCTAGGAGGCGCAGTATGCGGCACGTGGTAGCTGAAACATGAGCCCGCAGGGGAAGATGCAAAGCAGGGCATCAAGGGCAGAGGAGCCTTGACGTGCATGGGATCGGATGGGCAAATCTGCTGCATGGCACCTTGCACCAATCTTGCATGGGATCCGACAGGAGAGGAGGGGAAGGTTGGCGAAACCAGAATCAGGGGCACCTGCCCCAGCTGCCGCGTTCATGAGAGCATTCCCACGGACATGACCACCATCCCTCATCCCATGTTATCCAATCTGCTGCTCCGTAAGGTGAGGAGGGAAAGGCCGGACGTGGAAGAGGCAGCTGCTTTGGAGCAGACCGAGACTCACTGGCAAGCAGTACCCCTTATCTATCCTTGTCTCCAGGAGGGGAAGAGATGAGTCCGACGAAGGCAGAAGCGAGGAGGCGGCCCACAGGTCGGGAGCTTTCTTTCTGCGCGAGAGAACTCTTTGCGCTCTGCGCACAGGGCCTTATGGTACCTTGAGTCGCGCATGGTGCAGGGATTGACCCCGCTTCCTTCTAGACTAGAGAGCACGTACGAAGCTGTTTGAGACTATCTGCATCAGTGACATAGTGGGCTTGAGCCTTGAGCTGCTTCCGAAGCCAGGAACCGTGCATGGCAACAGGCAGTTCTTATCGCAGCCCTACACGGCCAACCTCCCGTAATGCCGAAACATGAACTGTGGTGGCCCCTGCGACTGAGGTGAGGAGGCGAAAGAGGGGAAGGTCGACCTCCGCCGTAAAGGCTCAGGCAGGGTAAGGTCAGAGCCAGATGCGGAAGATACTGTAGCAGCTGCACCCTGACTTCTCTAGCAGCTTGCGCGGCCCTACAGTGGCCCTACAGAATGTGCAGGCGAGGAAACCCGGGAAGATGCTGCACGCAAGCCGGCAGTGAGCAGCTCGCCAAGCGACGTCAGCGACAGCAGGTTCAAGACAGTACATGCGTACATGTCATCACGTGAACTCACGTGTCACCAAGGACGTGTGGAGAAGGGCCGGGAGGCCACAAACAGGGCAGCAAAGCCAAGAGAAGGTCAGAGCTTGGGTCGGAGCAAGTCCAGCATGTCCCGACTTGGTGCGAGTCACTTTCATGGAGCGCAGGCGAACGGGCGGCCGAGAAGCCGACCGAGAAGCCCACGGAGAAACTTGCCGAGAAGCCAGAAAAGCTGAACAAGCAAGAAAAGGACATTGCGGCTCCGCCGGAAAGTTCTGCTTCGGCGTGGAGGAAATGGCGGCTGCTGCAAGACGGTCATGAGCAGAGGCTGCCGGCCCCACTAGGTGTAACTGGATCTCGATCCGATGTCGCTTGGATGACTTAAGGCGCTCTCTTGTGTCAAGGCCGGAGGAGGAGCCAGAGGCAAGCTTCTGCCGGGAAATGTTCATCAGCCGGAGACATGGCCGGCCAGAGGACGGATCTCATATTCCGAGCATTGAGGTTCGAGAAATTAGTGAAGGCTGTGCCAAGAGATGCCGAGGCTACGAGATGCTACGAGGTGCATGTGAACCAAAATGGGTTGCAATGTTGTTTAGGAAACGCTCATTTCATGCAACAAACGTCCATGTTGCGAGTACATCCATTGGCAATCCATGCCCGAACGATCCCGAATGATAAGAACGTGCATGTTCCTACAACCACACGATGATAATGTTCATGTTACGAGCCCGTGCGAAATGCGGGAGCATCCATGCTCGCGCGATGATAAGGTTCGGAAGTATTTGCCAACTAAGCCCGCAACCCGAAACGGTGCTGGCAATGCTAGCAAAGCCTTGTACCCTAAAGATCAGCAACCCGAAGCGGTTAAGCCCGAAAATCTTGTGCCCAAACACTCACAACCCGAAAACCCACCCTGAGAACCGCAAGAAGTGCATGCCCAAACCCCAAAGCAGCGTGCGCCATAACCGCGAAAGCAAGAGCTCTTGACACTGAGCTGCATTCGTTGCTTGAGCACATGCGCTTTCCCTAGACGTAGCGCGCGCTTTGACAAAGCGCACGTGCAGTCTCAGAGGCCGGCAGGTTGCTTTTTTGCCCTTTTTCTTCTACATCCCCTCCTGTGCCATGAGGACCACTACCGTGTGCTGGGAGTGCTGGGCAAGGGCTCTTTCGGCGTCGTTCGAAAAGTTCAGTGCCGGCAGACAAAGGCCATGAGAGTGCCGCTCGGCTGTACACTACATGGATATATGCACTTGGGCTTCCCCATGCTGGCTGAGGATGAAAATCGTCGACAAGCAGAAGGCTCTGAGCGGAGGATATCCCTTGAAGCTGATCATGGAAGAAATTGACAAGCTCAAGTCACTGGATCACCCCGCAGTGCTTCGACTCTTCGCAACTCTTTTGCAGCTGGCAAGATGGCAGGGCACAGGGCCAGGGTCGACAGTATGAAACGGAGGGCTGTAGGACCTCCATAAAGTTGCAAACGCTTGCGCGTGCCGCCGGGCAGCCGGCCAGCCCAGCCCACAGGATGCGCACGTCGGTGATCCAATCGGTGCGGCTCGGAGGTTCCGGTCCGCAGGGTCTGGCTGCTGAACTGCTGAGCGCAGGTCGAGGACAAAGACACCGGAGAGTCGGAGAGTGGCTGTAAAAACCCGCAACCCCACAGCATGGGTGCGCTTTGGGGACGGGACGATACGGGATGTAGAGGCCCTGGAGGACCTGAAGACTAGCAAAGGCTTGCAGTGTCAGCGGCCTTGTGCTGCCACATAAGCCAGGGTGATTGAGGCGGTTGGAACTGCCAAGAAGGCAGCCAAAACAAGTGGATGGTATGGGAGTCGCAGGGGCCGAGATCCCGAAGGGGGAGTCCCTTCCACATTCTTGCGACCGCCCACAGCATCAAGTTTGCTCCGACGGGGAGGGGGGCTTTCATGCTAAATCGTAAACGGTGGTATGCCGGATGATTGCAGACTTGTTGCTGCACGTCACTGTGTCCAGTTAACTTTCGGTTCGTTATCATTTCTGATTTCTGGATAACGAGTTGTCGAAGGTAAAGGGGAATCACTTTTCAGCTGAAGCCGTAAAGCTCGGGTCCTGGACTGCTCTTCAGATACTCTTGGGCGCGTTTTGGGAGTACCATTCATGGTCTTCCGCTGCTTGGGTTTGGGAAAGTGTTCGCGCAAACTTGCCAAAACCTGGTGGTCTCCCGCGCAGCTCAATTTCAACGTGTTGTTGGGTGAATGTGCGAGAACCTAAGCCTTTCCCTCTGGTCTTGTGTAAGAATGTTCAGGGCACTGGCAGCACGCACGGCTTGCATGACCACGCTCTGTTTCCGACCGCATCGCTTTGTAACATCTACATGGTGAGTAAAGTACGTAGCAGGAACGGCCGACAAACACATTAATTCGAAGTATACTGGCTACGAGTCCCATTACGTCTATCGCCGCTGGTGTCATGTGCCAATGAAGCACGATCGTGCGCTGCGCATGGATACGGCATGGATACGGCCCTGGAAGCCGAGGAGTACTACGCAGACTCACGCTCGTTGTACTTGATCACCGACCTCCTTCCAGGCAGCTCTCTAATTTTTATGGCAGAGATCACTGGTGCCTGGAGTTGTGAGATGCCAGGTGGGGACCTTCTGGAAGCTGTTGAAAAGTCGAAGCTTGGACCCGTACACACTCTAGCAGCCCCGGTGCCCCAGTTCTGAGTCTTCCACACCCAGGTATGCTGAAAAGAAGCAACTGCCAGAAGCATGGGCCAACGACTGGCATTTAGACTTCTTGTTGGTTTCTGATCGATTTCCCTGGTTCCTTCTGCTCGTCATCCGCAGAAGACGCTGCTGATGGGATCACCATGCTATTGTGTCGCCCTTCCAAGGTTGCTGCAGTGTTCAGACAAGCCTGCGAAGGCGTAGCGTATTGTGCTACGGCTGCAGTGCAGACGTGCAAGAACTACACCATATGAGAATTGCACGGCTTGAAGCACTCAGGTCACGCAAAAGGCGTGATGCACAAAGATTTGAAGCTTGAGAACATCATGTGCCTTGGCGAGCCGAGCCGTAGTCCGTAGTCGCCGCGATTAAATGGGATCCATACTTCAGGTTGTGCTCCATCGATCCTCCAGAAGCTGTCGTCATCGATGTGGGACTGGCAGAGCTGTTCCCCCCTGCTCAGGCACGCTGTAGTGCTCCCAGTCTGCCAGTTCTTTCCTTGCTGTCATCTGATTGTGTCGGAGCTTTAGACTGTAGACGAGCTCGTATATCCCCCTTGTGTTCAAAAACCGTTTTTCTCCAGCCAGCCATGAATGGAGTTGAGGAGTCTTCAGGGTTTGGGCCTTGCTTCCTCATACACAGCGTTCACAAGACCCTTGGGAAACATGAAGACCCTGGTATTTACTCCGTTGGTAAGACTTTGCACTGCCGGCATTGCTGTCTCCGGCCTGCCGACCTATGACAAGCCTATACGTAGTATCACGCTCGGCTGTCGCCCGCAGAAATGCCGTACGGCCCCGAAGATCCTCGAACGGAGCTTCGCCGACTGGTGCTTCATATCGTGTGAAGGTAACGGCTCTTTCCTGCAATGCCGCAGCGATAGTGCCCACAGCAATGGCGAAAGACATCGAGCGTTCGAGTGGAGTACATCTGGCTTGAGACGCTGCATAGCACACAGCCCGAACCTTGAAGCTGTCAGCACTCAACTCGAAGCTGGCTTGGGGACCGTCCTGGCCGAATTACGATATGTCCAACCCGTCGGGTTCGGAATACAAGTCATATTGAGTACCTGTAGAACCATGGTTAGCTTCAGCTTCGTCCAGCTAGGTGACAGGCTAAAAAGACACTAGAAAGCACTCGGGCAGCTTTTTGCGTTGCGCACGAAGCTCAGCATCCAGCCCCCAAAGGCGGACTCCTTCAAGTCGGCAGATGCTGCCGGGACACTGGCGACTATGGCCCCTGAGGCGGAGGGGGCAGTGGGAGCTTTACGGAGCGTAGTGTTCCAAAAGGAGGCTCATGCTTGCGCCGCGCCTTCCCACTGAGTTCGCCTGTCCCGAGGTGATTCGCGGGAGCTTTTGCGCAGCGACGGCTGCATCCAAGCACCCATTCTTCTTTGGGCTTCATACGGATGCTTAATGGTAGAGCTTCATGTGAGACACATAACCCCTCAACACTCAGAGCATCGATTGGGGACGCGCTTAAGTGAGAGTTTCCATTTCATCCGATAGGATGAAATTGTGGTAGGTGAAGAGCATGGAAAACGATGGGGGATGTGCCAATTCAAAAACAAGCAAGGCTTACGCAAGTAAATTTGACGCCGACTCGTGTGGGAGAACTAATCACATCCCTGGTGCCAAGGCCAAGTGCGACGTGCGGACAGCTCAGTACCAGCTGCGGCTCTAGAAGGGTTTTTGGGGGAGAGCGGTTTGATTCGTCCACGCTCAAGTGTGTGTTTGTTA